GGCTTTTGGTCATAACTTAAGATTGGAAACATAGAAGGCCAGACCAAGAACTGTTCAGCAATTGAAAAAACAATACTGCATGCAACCTAGAAAAAGGACGAAAAATGACATTCGAGCTAAGGTCAACCAATCTATTTATGACTTCAAATTTTCATTATTTTTTGATAAGTTTCACGATTATATTTTTCTTTAAGTAAAATTCATCCTTTGTTTTTTCCTTTCTATTCACTCAAATCCCTTGCCTTTCCTAGACTCGAGATCTCCTTTTCCTCCAGCTTAGTTCTTCAGTTTCATCATATCTTTAAGATCAGGATACAAGTGAGTGCTGCCCTACAATGTTTTGTCATTATTTCTGTCCAACAGACACTGCTCATGATGACTTACCTCTGTTTCAAACTCTTTGTAACCTTGAACAGAAGACTTAAGGACCTTCACGGCAACTTGAGTATTGACCAAGTAACCAAGGAATACTTTTGCAAATCCTCCTTCCCCGATTTTCGTCTCAAAGTTATTTGTCATACGCTGTATTTGTGAGTAAGATAGCTGCTGATTTTTTGGCTCTAGCGATCCGAGTCTTATAATGGGCTGTTTTCGGGCTGTCAACGAGTGAAGGTTTGAGAAGCATGTTCATGAAAACTTCCTATTACATGCATATAGAAGCATGTCTTAAAAGTTATAAAACTCATAACACTTGTACAAGAAAACTTTAGTCTAACCTCGTTTTTTCCATATTATAATCCAGACGACTATTGCAGCTAAGAGGACCAGCAACGATGAAACTGTTGCTACAATTGGAACAACGTAAATCTGTTTCTTCTTTTGGCAAGAAGATGAAGCACAAACATCGGCGTTTCCTCCAACCCTTCCATAAAGCAGATGACAATATCAAGACTTTACGTTAGACTAGTAATCACTGCCATTAATCCCCTTAAATAGCATATTTCCTGATCTTTGGAGATGTATAATGATAGGTAAAACATACTGCATTTGTAAAAGAAATCTTGTAGTCTTATGCAAAAGGAACATTCATGAAAGATTGACTAAAAGTAGGGTGAAAACAAACCAAAACTAACTCATTAGAAGAGTTGGGAATTTTTTTAAGTTCAAACAAAAATATGATACCTTATTGTAAGCGATCCATTCTTCGATTTCTCCATGAGTTCGCTTGGTATAGAACCAAGAAGTGGGTTGTTCCTCAAGTCTCTGCAAATGTATCATCAGTCCATAATTAGTTTTCTCACTGAATATATTAATCCATTCATTTCTGAGAAAAACGACTCACAAAACTTTCAAAGAGTGCAACTCGGATAGCATACTAGGCACTGGTCCACTCAAGTTATTGTTTGATAAATCCCTGGAATAAGTGATTGACTTAGACTATTTTTACTAAAAAGAATGGGAGAACCCATTTTAGTTTCATTATCAGAAAAACTGACGAGCGAAGAGCTTTACATAACTTTTCTGGACTTACAAATATTGTAATGATCTGAGCTCGGATATAGAAGTAACTATTTCCCCCACCAACCCACTTGAAGATAAGTTCCTGTTGTTGAGTTTATAGACGTCAACGAAAGAAGATAGATAAGAACTCAGCCAAAAGAGAGCATTGTTGGAAACTTACAAGGAGGTGATTCTATTAGGAGTCTCATCATAGCTACAACTAAGACCGTGCCACACGAAGGATTCTGGCAGGCATGGATCACCCTGCCAATTCTTTCTCACTCCATAAAATGATTTCACGCTCATCAGAGCTTTAACTGCAATAATTAATGTAAGCAAGAAAGAGTATGGTTACATCTCAGGTAATGATAAAGATAAATAAACGGCTAGCAAAAATTCTGAACATACTGTCTTGCTCATCAGTGTGCGATTGTGATGTATCTAGCACCGTGTAAATTTCAAGAGCATTGAGGATGGGTGGAAGATTTGATGTATTTGTTCTTACAAATTTAAAATCAATAGATTCTCCACTCATTGGGTTTGTGGTAAACAATGTAGTTGACTGCAAGTAATCAGGAGAAAAAGGTCCATGAAGATGATTTTCATTTTGAAAGATGTTAAATTCCCTCGATTGGTTGGCTTGGAGCTTTTCCAAATCAGCAAAGTGCAAGAATAAGTGAAATTTGGCATTGGGATCTCCAGGAACCCAGTGAAATTCTAGAGGAGCACTGGCATTATCGGTTGTGATAGCAGTGCTCATTACAATTCTTGGTAAATTATAACTGTTGCTGATTTCTGAATCAACTGTGGATGATGTGCTTATAATTTTGTAACTAGGAAAGTTATAGGGCCTCCAAATCCGATCACAAAAATCGTCTTGGTACCTGAGAGAGAAACAACGACATTTAATCATCATCTACTATAAACAAGTTTCAGTGTCTAATTAGAATGTCATTTCAAGTGCTTAAAAATCACCCTTTTAAAACACTTGAAAAGTCATTCCAACCAGGTTTTTGGTATTCTTTTCATAAATGGCTTACCGAACAGTTTCGTTTGTAATCGATCCTACATCCAACCGTCTATGGAGAGCTAACAATTCGAAATCGGTAACATAGCTAGAATTTTTCAAAAGTCTAAACTCCAATGCTGATATAAAAGGTGATCCAAAGCCAGTATTCACCAGGCATATGCTTACGGAAGATGTAGGAAGTGCATGTACAACTTCTTTGTTTGTGATACTGGATTCATTGCTCAATACTACTGAATCCCATTTATTAATTCCCATGTACAGATCAAAAACCGACGCATTACCTTTGCCATCATAGTTTCCGTACATGAAACTCGCTCTGATCAAATACTTGAAACCTTTACCTTGAGCAAGCTTTATGGTGTAGCAGTTCCTCTCCCCTTCAGGAAAGCTTCTAACATACCAGAATTTCTGTGGAAGAGTGGAAGAGTTGAAATCTGATGATATGCTCCTACTTACTCCAGTTTCTGTGAAGTTTGCATCAGAAATATACTTGATGCCTGTTACACTGTCTGTGTAGCTTGAATTCTTTGAATTTCCACAGTCAATGCTAATGAATCCTGAACAACAGAGTACACAAAAGAGTCTTAGGCTCCGTTTGACAACCATTTGGTGATAGTAGCGTTTATAGGTTTAATTTTCAAAAACAAAAAACAAGTAGCTATCAACCGGAGCTTATTATCTTTCATATACACAAATTTGCATATGCTACACATTGAAACACAACAACAACAAACCTGACTGATCCTGTGCAGTAACCAGAAATGAAATAGCTAAAGCAACAAAGATCTGAAGGAGGCAGCATCCTAACTGTTCCATAATCATTAGTGCTTAGTAGAACGAAAGCAGCTGCAAATCATATGTGGGAGTTGAGCTCTTTTTGTATATAGAAATCAGCATGGTAGGCCAAATCAAAGAGCCTTTAGCACCTGCTCAAAGAGTAAAATGAGTAACATTCTCCAGTGAACATTGCATGACCAGCTTACAGTCAGCCATATGCAATGCTTTTGATTCCATCATTTTGAAAATCCAGCATATGGGCAGGTTAAAGCCAAGTTGAACTATTTTAAAGACATCTTATTAAAGAAAATGAAGAATGGAGGAAGACTTAATTCTCCATAGCTGTCATAGTTGACAGAAATATCTTTAATCTCTTCTAGTGAGGTAGATGATTTTATTTTAAAGCCAAATCAAAATCATTGACATTGTTGTTTCTGCCACTCTCTACCATAACATTTAGGTTAAACTATTCAAAATCTTCTGTCGTCTTGTTTAAGAAAGAAGACTTTCAGAATTCATTCAAATATCTGAAAGTTGACTTTGTCACTAAATTATAATCAGAGTCGTGGCAACATTCTCGTTCAAAAGATGAACGTTTAAATGTGGCAATTATCGATAATCACTAAGTAATCACTAATGTGGCTTGAAAAATGAATGCCTATGTTACCTTCTAAGCCTTGCATTCCTGTTTCTTTTACATTTACCAGTGCTTGGATCATTCATAGGATAACCTTCTGATCCTACTACATTTGTCAAAAATGATTTCGACTATACTGAGAATTATCTAGATTTTAGTTTTTGGACTATGAAATTTAAGTTCATTTGAATTTGTAGTCAAAATTCAAAAACAAAAACAAGTTACTAAAAAACATGAGAGAGAGAGAGAGAGAGAGAGAGAGAGAGAGAGAGAGATTAGAATAACCTGCATTGACAAATTCAGCAAGAAGCTTGACGAAGCAGAGAGAGTGAATTAGGGAGAGCAGGAGCCGGCACATGGAGAAATATATTAAAGAAACGCTGCGACGGCATTGTTTAGACTTGACGAGGGAAGATTCGGAGATGGTTAGGGCCATTGTTTAGACCAAGAATCGATTGAAAGTCAAGACCAACCGTTGACAATCAGTACTCAAGTTCTTAATCTTGAATATTGAGCTGCAAATCGCAATGCAGCCGGAAAAGATACAGAGATGAAGCCGATCAACGAGACGAGGCCGAAACTGTTCAGAAGGGACAATGAAAATTCAGCCCGTTCTTGTTCAAATTAAAGCTTGGAATCTAAACTTCGAGAGAAAACATCAAAAAAATCATACATTAGAGATTGTTAGTCACTTGTTTAATCCATCAAATAACGCTATGAACTATTTTTAATATTTTATGAAAAGCATATTGATCAAAGTATATTTTAACATTTTTTGAATTAAATTATCAACTTTTACGATGAAAAGCATAATAATTCATTCACTTCGTACCTAAGCATTAACCAACTAATTTAAACACTGCAACGTCAAAATTTTCAATCGTTCTATTGAAATATTTTAAACAAAATTATTATTCAGGTAGATAACGTATTTTAATCTATCAAAACTATATTTTGATAGATACCTTAGTCTATTAAATGTTATCGTATAGAATGAACTCATTTATTATTAACATTCGTAAGCTTAGATATTTACCAACTTTAGTTTCTACTATCAATTTTAAAAACCAAGAGAAGTCTTAATATTGGTTTTAATTTACCAATTTAACAAATTTATGCCATGATTAGTTCATGTATTGACTAAACTTAATTAAAAAAAATCAATTTTATTGAAATTATTGATATTACAAATATTTTTTACACTATTCTAACCTCATGGTTGAATTTAATCAAATCCAAAAAAGTTTGAGATGAAGTTTAATGCATGACTGGATATTATTAGGAGGTTCGGACCGATGCCCACGAGAAATTGAACAAAAGGATGCCGAATTGGCCCTGAGCTAATAGCCTGTCGTGTCGTGTCGTGCGGGCCTATGAAGTTTAAGTTAATTTTTCCCGAGGCAAATATATATACACATGTATATTTCATATGGATTCAACTAAGCACCAAATCATCCTTGAAAGCGATGTAATGAAGGGAACATATTATAGACCAATAGTCAGAAGTATAGCAACATCAATAATTGAGAGACAAGGTTTGTCTGTTCATGTCTTGCAGCTGTTGAATCTAAAAGAGGCCAAAACATACAATTCACATCAAAATACATCAAAACACAGGTCTAGAAAGCAGGCAAGCAACTGAAGCTGATGATATGATCAATGAACAGTGTTATGTCATGAAACACGTACCTGTACGTGGTCGATACTCCCTGTCTCCCGCATTCTTCCTAAGGAAGAGGAAAAAAAACGAAGAATGGAACGTTCGGTACGTCGTGTTTCTGTGTATCTATTGCCCATTTCTGTCAATCTCGTGCAGGTTTCACCTCCTCTGGTTTATGGATGATAACTATAATGAAGTGGTTTCTGATGTACAAGCTAAGGCTGTTTGTAACGGGTCTTTAAACACGGCAGGTCTGCGCTTGGTAGTCACAACCTTCATAAACTTCTAATCCTGGCTCTCCCAGCTGGTCTTCTCGAAAGCAAGCGCATCGTTTGCTCATCTTCCCTGTCAACGCGATTTCTAATGGTCTCTGTATCAACCTCGGGAAGCCATTATCGCACCAGACCTAATGATGGGGTAAAAGAGATCACAATATGAAGTTTATTCTGTGTGTGTGAATTAACCTAGAAAACCAAGCTTCCATTGGGATAAATGAAAGAACACAATACTTTAGAGGCATTTCTAGTCTTTTCATCAAATATATTTGTTGGGTAGATTGGATAAATCCTAGTGTAACAACCACAACCCAAGCCCATTTCTAGTCTTTTCATCAAATATATTTGTTGGGTAGATTGGATAAATCCTAGTGTAACAACCACAACCCAAGCCCACTGCTTGTAGATATTGTCCGCTTTGGCCCATTACGTGTTGCCGTTAGCCTCACAAATGTGTCTACTATGAAGAGGTTTCCACATCCATATAAGGAATGCTTTGTTCCCCTCTCCAACCGATGTGGGATCTCGCAATCCACCCCCCTTGGGGGCCAGCATCCTCACTAGCACACCGCCCAATGTCTGACTCTTATACTATTTGTAAACATCTCAAGCCCACCAATTGTAGATATTGTCCACTTTGGCCCATTATGTATCGCCATCAGCCTCACAGTTTTAAAACAAGCCGACTAGGGAGAGGTTTCCACACCCATATAAGGAATGCTTTGTTCACCTATTCAACTGATGTGGGATCTCACAATCCATCCCCCTTGGGGGCCTAGCATCCTCGTTGGCACACTGCCTGGTGTCTGGCTCTGATACCATTTGTAAAAGCCCACCGCTAATAGATATTGTCTGCTTCAGCCCATTACGTATCGCCGTCAGCCTTACGGTTTTAAAACGTGTCTACTAGGAAGAGGTTTCCACACCCATATAAGGAATGCTTTGTTCCCTCTCCAGCCGATGTGGATCTCACACCTAAATACGGTCCTAACGAGTAAATATAGAATCTGATTGTTAAATAACATGACTGCATTGAAGAATATACCTCACCACCTTCATCCTGACTCCATTTCGAATTACAGCTTGGCAGTTTATCCTCCTCTTTCTTTTGTTTCTTCAAAAGTTGTGCGCCTCTGGCAGCCTTTGCCTCAGCTCCCTTCAAATGCTTAGTGGGATTTCCTTGATCATCATAGTAAAGACCCACCAACTTACCTACAAATCTGTGGCCAAGGCCAAGAACATTATCCTTCAGCATTTATTCCAATAATATAACATCATTCCCAAATCTAACGTCTTCTATCAATTAATCAATTTTTCATGCTCGAATGAACACGCACGACACTTGCAAGTTGCAACAGTTGTCATCCCATATCATTTAAGATAACAGACGCTACTGCAGCCAACTTACGTGTAGGATTTATGGTAAAAGCCCCGCCATTCAACGACGCTCTTGATCTACAAGATTAGTTAGTATAAAAGTCAGATATATAAACCTTGAGAGAGCAGTGTATATATACCAAAGAGGGGGAAAGAACGGGTTTGGAGGGGCAGAAGTTCTACAAAGCTTAAGAATGAGAAGACGAATAATAAGCAACAGCATTGCATATTTAAGGGCAATCCCTTGACCATAGTGACAATTTAAGTAAGCAATTAAGAGTACCTCAGCATTTGACAGACCCCGCAAGGAATCAGTGAGTCCTTCCCCTATAACAATAACAAATGATAGAATTCAATTGATACTTGAATGATGTTTAGGTAATAGGACATATGAAACATTTTTCTTCTTTTTTCTTAGTTCTTATTCCCAACCACTCTCTACCATTCTTCCTCTCCTCACCCTCAAATGAAAAAGAAATAGAAATGGACATTTGATTTAGTACATGTAACAGCCCAAGCTCAAGCCCGCCGCTAGCAGATATTGTCCTCTTTGGACTTTCCCTTATGGACTTCCCCTCAAAGTTGTAAAACGCATCGGTTAGGGAGAAGTTCCACACCCTTATAAGGAAGGCTCTATTCCCCTCTCCATCCGTGGGATCTCACAATCCACCCCCCTTGGAAGCCCAGCATCCTCGCTGGCACACCGCCCGATGTCTGGCTCTGATACCATTTGTAACTGCCTAAGCCCACCGCTAGCAGATATTGTCCTCTTTGGGCTTCCCCTCAAGGTTTTAAAACACGTCTGTTAGAGAGAGGTATCCACACCCTTATAAGGAATGTTTTGTTCCCTTCTCCAACCGATGTGGGATCTCACAATCCACCCCCCTTGGAAGCCCAGCGTTCTCGTTGGCACACCGCTCGGTGTCTAGCTTTGATACCATTTGTAACAGCCCAAGCCCATTGCTAGCAGATATTGTCCTCTTTGGGTTTTCCTTTCTAAGCTTCCCCTTAAGCTTTTAAAACGCATCGGTTAGGGAGAGGGTCCCACACCCTTATAAGTAATGTTTCGTTCCCCTCTCCAATCGATGTGGAATCTCACAATACATATTTCTTGTTGAGTAATAGTCAAATTACCGTTTTTGCACGTTTTCCATATGAAGACATAATTAGGATGACGACATTTTAATACAATAGTTAATTGAAGATACACATCCTCCACCTTAAAAAAAAGCCTAATTTTAGGCACTCCATTCACAATGTGGAAGTGAAAAGCAAGCATTGGTCAGAAATTGATTCAAATTGGCAGCCCAAAGAAAACAAAAGTTTCACTATATCTGTAGAACACTCAAATGTCTGTTATACTACGTACACATATTTATAACTAGAAACTGACTGAAAATATTTTAAAGCGCCCCAACAAGAAACCATAAATACCTGTGAAGTTTCCTGATACGAATGCACGAGAAGCATCTCTATTTTAGAAACAACCATGAAAGAAGAAAATATCAGAACGATACTGCTAATGTATATCGCAAAACTCTAAGAAAAGTGGCAATCGAAAATCAAGGTCTTGTTAAAAAGAAACCAAATATAATTGGATCAGTAAGGAACTATAATCATTCAAATTGAAAACTAATGTTTTTAGGCTTCCAGACTGTCCTAAGTGACAGAGAGCAGAAAGAAAATGACTCATTATTGTAATCTATTAGATTCAATAGCTACAAATGACAAACACAAATACATGAAGAAAAAGAACTATGACAATCTGAACCATTGATAGAACAAATGCTGCTATGTAGGAATTTTAAAATTTATTCTTATCAAATTTGGATTTGTTGCCTAGGAGATTAACAAGGAAAATATCGATCACAAACCTTCCCGAAAAGTGATGATAACCTCCTCCCACACCATAGTGAGATTTTCCTTTTGTGACATCAAAGACTGATCTGAAAAAAAAATAAAATCATTAGAGGTTAAATAGCAAGGGATTGACTTCCATGAAACGACCCCTTGGCTTAACCGTATTACAACGGGCATGCATTTGTATATGTTGTCAGGTTATTGATGTTTAATCCAAGACATTTTGTTTTTCCATGTGCGGCAGAATAATGATATAATTTCAAAAGAATGTCAACAAGAAAGAATTGAGATATGCAGCTCAGTCGTTCAACGCTATGAACTATCATGATTTACTTCATCCATTTTCTACATTCTCTCATAAATCATAATGATTAAGCAAATTTAACTGAAAAAAAACATAGATAAAATTTGGAGGTGGGTTGGGAGGGAGGTGGAGAGTACCCAAGAATTCCAAGAAGAATAGGCAATCCCTCATCAGTTCCATTATACAAAGCTAGCTCATCAACTTTGAAGAGTTTCTACAAAAGCAAACAAGAACATGAAATAAAAGTATAAAACTCTGCCAACTTAAATCAATTAGAAATTAAATAAACCTCTCTGATAAAGAGTCCATTTCATGTCACACCCACTTCAAAGCCAAGATCACATGTTGCCAATCTTCTTTCAATCAATTTAACAACTTAAAGAAGGATAATAAAGACAGAAAATGTACGTAGGAATCCTTGATAACACTTATTTAACCAAAAGGACCCAAGTAGAGTTCTCCCATAATCAAGGTCTAATCACAAGATCCAAAAAGTCCGACGAGAAACAATCCACCATTACGCTGTAATCCACCATTACGCTACAGCAGATAAAAAATTTGAGATCTCACATCAGTTGGAGAGAGTAACGAAGCATTCTTTACAAGGATGTTGAAACCTCTCCCTAGCCGGGCGGCACACCAAGAACACCATCTCAAAGCATTTAACCAAAGGCCATCATCTTTCCCTCAATTTGAAATTGTAACCACACTGCGGGTAAATCTTTCGCTTTCAATCTTTAATCCTTTTTCATAGCATTATGTAGTATACCAAAAGCTCGCCCATGTAATACGAACAATAGATCTTAAACAGCTCGATAATCATAAACGCAGTTCTAACAAGTCACAAAAGCTGCTATCCAATAATTAATACTCCGAAAATTCGTAAAATACCAGTAAATTCCTAAAGACAGAGAGAAATGCCTTCCAATTCCAACAGAAAATAGAAAAATATCTTCCGAAACTATAATACAAGCATAATTATCAAGAAGAAACTCGTACCTGTTGAGGGGAAGGGAAGGAAGGGGCGATCGGATATCGGGATTTGAAGGAAAGCCCAACAAAAAGCGCAACGACAGCCACTATAAGAGCCAAAACCCACCCCATGGTCTTTCCCGCCATAGCTTTTCCCTTCACCGAGCTCGAGCCCTTCTGTTCATCTTCATGCGCGTCTTCACCCGGTCTTTGTGGAGATTGATCACTCGCCATACTTCTGGACCCGAATGGCAAATTACAGATGTGTCTTCTTCGTGGGATTTTCTTTTTCCGCCTTTGAAAATAAATAAATAAATATTTTTTTAGTGTTAGAAATTATAATATTAAAATTTAAATATTTAGAAACGACGTAAAACATTATATTTTTTTTTTTATTACTACATTATTATTAAATTTCAAAATTATTAGGACGTTTTACTGTAAGCTATCTTAAAAAATTAAAATTATCTATTAAATTTATTTTGAAATAAAATATTTTTAATATATATATATATATATATATATATATATATAAATGAAAAAAAAAAATTTACTGCAAATAACCGAGGGATAATAAAACGCTATAAAAAGTCTCAGATTGGACTTTTAATGACATGAACAATCATGACGTACGGAAAATATTATAAGAAGCCTACAATATCGTTTTTTCATAAAATTATCTATAGTTTTATACTTTATTATAGCATCTATTATAGCTATAAAAAAATACTATTAAAAATATCAGACTTTTAATTAAATGAGCTATCACGACATACAAAAAACGTTATAAAACGTCTACAATAGCATTTTTCGTATTCTATTGTATCAATTATTTTTTGTAGTGTCCATCTCCTAAAAAATAAATAGAGAATTTCAGTGAGACAAAGAATAAAAAATAGGATACGAGGCAAGAGAATATAGACATATATATATATATATATATATATATATATATTCGAGAAATCTACCAGAGCAGGTGCTATACGAGAACAATTAGCTGATTTAGATTTGCGACTCATTATAAATTATTCATTGGTAGAATGGAAAGAATTAGGCAAAGAAGGACTGCGGGTAATGAATGGGAAGATAAAGTTGAAAGAAGAAAAGATTTTTTGGTTAAACGTATGGAATTAGTTAAGCATTTTATTCGAACAAATATAGAACCCGAATGGATGGTTTTATGTCTATTACTTGTTCTTCCTCCCGAGTTGAGACCGCTTATTCAGATAGATGGGAGTAAACTAATGAGAGTTATATATATTATAGGACTAATTGATGCTGGGGAATATGTAAATGAAAATAGCATAATTTTAAAACCAAAATACATACAGTACCAATAAAAACACACACATAAAGCAAGCACAACAAGAATTATGGAACGTTATTTTACAAATTTGAGGGTCTGGTTTTTATTTTTTCTTATCTGAACAAGAACAAATACTATGAACACAGACTCCTCAATCATCACACAAAGCATCTGAAAGAGATAACCTGAGATTCTCCTTACAAACCCAACGCAGAGCTGCAAGGAACTCTTCCGGTGCTAACTAATCATATATACCTTCAACGTCTGCTTCATCCACTGCGAATCTTGCTTGCTGCTAATAGCAAAAGCTTGTTCTGTCGCCTACAACAAGTGGGAACAGCAGCTCATCGCGAGGTAAGAAAGATGAACGGATTCTGTAACGGTCGTTTCAATTTCCAACCGTTGACTCGAGCTTTCTAATGATCAATGTTTGATTTAGCTACTATCTCCATCTGATAGCTCAGGCTTCTGGACAGTAATTAAAAGCTATGTCGCACAAATTGTTGAATCGCTTCGCCACGAGATGGAATCGAAATGGATCGATTCCCTTGTAATGGAAGGAGGGTGAGCTGCAACTGGACAAATCAATAAACACTAAGGTTCAATTGTAATTCTAGTCTAATAGGTGTGTTTGTGTCTAATATGTCCTTGAACTTTCGATTTTATGGCTTGTAGGTCCCAAACGTCAAAGTTTTTTAACCTTACAATTTTGTATCTAATAGATTCTTGACATATTCAACTACTTTTCAAGTATTGGACATAAGATATTGAACTTTCAATTTTGTTTCCAATAGTTTGTGAATCTAAAAAAATTGTTAAATAGGTTAAGGATGTATTCGCTATAAAATGGAAAATTCGACGACTTATTAAACACACAAAGGAAAAAATTAGGGCAGTTCAAACATTTTTATAAAAAAAAAAAAAAAAAAGGGGAAAGCCAAACATTTTTATGGTCTCAAACAGGCACTAACCTTGGAACCTCAGTGAGCTGTGGCCTCTGAATCGTTGTTCCTCGCTGACCAGTAACTCCCTAGTGACCCATACTTCGATCTTCAATTGCTTGATGCTGATGGGAATGTGGCTGAAGGCGTTCTTGCTGCAATTGCTCGAGTGGCTGCTGCTGTACTTGAGGCGGACTCCTTGCACTCATCTGTTGATCGGCAGATCTCAATAGCCTGCTTCTTCTCCATTTAAGATACTCTATAAGAAGCGAGTTTATGCAAATAGCAAGCCCGAATCCAGTGAGGGCAGAAAGAAAAACCGAGAGAATGGCATTCACGTTAAGCTGCATTTTGAAAGACGATGAGAGAATATTATGGACGATCATCAAGACCATTCAAAATATTGAGACTGAAATAAGCAGAAAGTGATAAGAAATGCAAATTCTTACTATTGCATAATATACATGCGCGAATAGGATGACTATCGCGAACTGGAAACAGGCATAAGCCCAAATGTAAGCTTTGCTCACTGCCACCATCAAATATCAAAATGGTTATCGTGTGATTTACCAACAAAGAGGAATAACTTTTATAATCTAAGCAAGAATGGGAGACTACGTAAAAAGGCTATCACACATTGCACGAGACGCTTATTATCCCATTAACTTGGCAATGTCCTTGTCGCTTAACTATTTAACCTTTATTTGCTTTCCTCGAGTCAAGACTGCATTTAGCCTTTAAGAGATTAGCTCACAAATTCATAAACGAAGTAAGATTAGCTAATTTATATTTCTGTCAAGTAGTCATTTGATACGTACTGAAAGTTCTAATGATCTAGATGAAACTCAAAAATACAGGCATTTGTGGGTTCAATGCGAAAATAGCACCAGTAAAATGTTATTCAGAAGGTAAGAAGTGAACCATGCACGAAACAAGGCTGGCTAGCTAGGTAGCTATCTTCTCTTCCTTCCTTAACTTCTCCAATATATATATATCTTACCTCACGCCCACATCATTCCTCCCACTTCTACTAGTGCTTATTCCTAATGAACTTTTAGGTCACGTTTTCCTTTAAGCCTTCTTCTCATACACTCACTGTAGGAGCCTAACACAATACCCCAATTAATAGAATCATAAATAGAAGAAAATTACAAGAACTTGCTAGTTGTTTCTTTAGAACTGTTTCTTTTCAACCAATTCATTTTTCTGGAGCTTAAACTTTAGGTGTTAACATGTTTTCATAAAAGAGACCTCACTTCATACAGCTCCATAGACTCTTCACTATTCAATTAATAGAAGAAAACCGATTAAAGAAAAGGGACTAAATTATACCAGATGATGAATATTGGTAGAGTATAATATATTTTATCCATAACAGTAACTGACCCATTGTGGAAGCAATCATAGATGAAAGGAGACCCAAAGCACATGAAAAGGGAAAGGAAATCGCGAGTGCACGAGGACCCATGTTAGGTACCTGTTCAAACAGAATTTTATTGTGGAAATTAATTCGATTTGGGAGATATGGACCAAAAATAAGGATAAAAGAGAGGGAAGCAGCAGCACCAAGAGGATTTAAACATTGGAGGAAGAAATGAACCAAGAACATGAGATAAAATTGTAGCAAATCCAGAATCCAATTGCTAAGAAAAAGGAATTCTTTCAATATATATACAATAACTTTTTCTTGTGTGCGGTGACTTGATAAAGTATACTGCCAAACACTAGAAATTGTGATTGGGATTCCTTGGGTTCTTTATTCAAGTGCTTCACCGATTTTATTGGAGTTTCATTGTCTTTTTTTAGAGGAAGAACCATTGCGAAAAATGAAAGAATATAAGAGCATACAAAAAAAAAAAAAAAAAAAAAAAAAAAAAAAAAAA